CTTTCGTGAGTAGATGACTCCATGGGAAAATTGAGAAAAAACTGCAATTTGTAACGCAAAGGATAACTAGGTGTAGGCGGGGTAACAAGCGGACTACCACCTGGCACTACCTTCTGCATAGGCCAACTCAGTCTTCCATCTCTTTGGATTAGGTAAATTGGTAATAGGCCCATAAGGAAAAAGTCGCTAAGGCCCTGAATAGAAACCCAGTCTATGGCTCATGCCGAAACGATTTGGTCTACACGAAAAATCTTCGTCCTTTAAACACCAAAACAGAAAGGGTACCATCGGCATAGGTGGTCAATTATTGATTTTGGCCGAATATATAGCTTGCAACTATGAAAAAAATTAATTGAATTCGATCAAGTGAAATAATAATTGGTGAATTAGAATAAAATAAGTGGCAGTCTATCCCTGGCCCAATTCCATTTCCAATTCGAGTGAAAACTTAAACCAGTAGTAATTATACAGTGTAAATGGAACTTGTACGAAGCGATGAAAGCATGAGAGCCATTCAAAGCAGTTTGAAAATGAGAATCAGCGTCTTCTGAGCTTACTTTTCTTTTCTTCAGTTCATACCGAACTCTTATCATGTGACTCTTTATCGCTACCATATTCGGCCCTCATCAATCGTAGTGGTCATGTAGTTTGAACTGTCACGGCTTCATTACACTTCAGTCTCTGAAGACATTGCTGACCATTTTGAAATCTTCATTCGGAATAAATTGATCTTTTGGAAGATGTACAGGTTGAAAGCCAATTTCGTAAATTCTGGAGAATGGAAGCACGATTATGCAACGTGCTATCAATGCCAGACGTTAGATTGCTGCCTCTAGCCTCCCGGTCCGGTACGACCATTCTTTATCATCGATCGTTTCCCTTCTGTTCACGGCCACCAACAGCTTCCGTATCATTAGATGGGAGGTACGATTAGCCTTACTGCCATGCGGAAGAGCATTTTAGATTACGAGTGCTTTTATCAATTCCATGACGACGTAGTTCATAACATAATTCCATCTACCTAGAAACAATAATGAGCCAGTTTAGGACCCTGCTAGCTCTCCCTACTCTTGCCGTTCCAGCACTTTCTGAAATTTCCATTGCAACAGCTTCTCAGCCTTTATACAGGTGTGGGAAGTTTCAGGAAAGACCTGATGTTCTCAAACACAATTTTACTTTTGGGTCTGAGAATTGGGAATATTTTAATGGGAGATGCGTACCCTTGATGCAAGTCTCAGATCTTTCTGCTGATAGGCAAACTACAATCTTATGAACCCTATGATGCAATGAAACTTTTTTTGGAAGCGCTGTGCTTTTTGTGCTGTCTCGTTTCGTTTGAAAAATGGTTTTGCGGTTCAAGTATTTCCGTTTAGATTTGAATGATCCTCACGAAAGTAAAGGCAGCAGCAAGGGACATGATGCTCTCGTTTTTCTTCAAAAGAAAAAATATCGAGGTTGATAAAACGATGAATCATTTGATGAGTGATAGAAATCGGTATTTTTGGCTAGCCGGACCCTCACTGATTCATTGCAGAGTGATCGTATTAGACAGTGTGGTCCGCTTGTTAATCGGCGTTTTATCGTATATATCACAGACAGAAAACTCACGGATGATTGACATGAGACGTCCTACTCGACCTCTACTTAGGTGAGCCTGTCCGAGTTTCGAGTATTATCGCGTAGGTGACCCGCATAATTAGTTGAACCGAATTTCTCTCCTACTTGACTGGATACTATTTAATTCTACAGCCATTATTCATCGACTAAGCTGACCCTTTCTTCTCACATTAATACATCCGTTTCGCTACTGATATCTGTGTATTCGTACAAGCGTCTATACTTTATTGAAATTTTAAAAATTCAACATGTTACTGTGAAGTTGATTATGCCCTATTATTTCCTTCTTTGAAGTCTATGCTTTATTCCTCTTATTTCTGACTATATTAGGGTGGAAGCGGTGGAGTGACGAGTGGCGAGTAAGGAATACTCACGATACGCATGGTCTCTGTTTCGAATCCCGGATAGATATCCGCCTAAGCCAACCAAGTATTTCTCCCCTCCGGGGCTGATCAATTGGCACCAGTGTCATCTGGCAGGATGAATCCACCAACTTGTACATTGGCTGACCACCGCAATCTCTTTGAAAAGACCACATTCGCATTTAATACGTCACTACGCAACTATTCTAATGGAAGTTGAGTACGGGGCGCATCGCTTAGACGGGATTGATCAACGTCCGAAGGCTTCATTCTTCATCCTTTTATGTATTTATTTGAGACTATGCTTTCGATTATCTATTTGTAGTAAGACAATCAGCAACTACTCAGCATACTACAACATGGCACAGCATAATTACTTTTTGAACGTTCCATCTGAACCCTAGTGAGAAGCACATCTCCAAGGGTGGCCCAAATTGGTTGTTCTTTGTAATCAGTTCAGCTGTAACCCTGGTCCTGTCCTGTTGGCTTATGAAGCTCAGTTGTTTTGTTTATCAAAGATAAGATGACTGTGTCTCAAGGGGTGGGCAGAAACCATTCCACAATTCAAATTCCACTTCGTTAATTCTGTTTCGAGCTGTCACGTACGGGCATATAGTTATTGGTGCTTCCGTAGAATGGTCTTAAATGTTTTTTGGTCTCTACGCAAAGTTTAAACAAACTTCGGGAGAACGCTTTGGTTCGTTCTTTTCCACAGTTAAGTAGCTGTCCAAAAGTAGATGAACTTGGGTGACCTCTATTTTCTTCAGAAGGCCTACATCCTAAATTCTCTACTTGATTGGGTTCGTTGCGAGCCATAAAGCTGGTCCATTTTGATCGAGGAAATGCGGTTTTTTCCGAGCTTTCTAAAATTCCTGTGTTACAGAGGGTCTGCCATTGACTTTGCTACCCTGAGGGCGAGTTCTTTGGTAGAATGACTAGCCTGCACCAAACTTATTATTCAATCTTTACTTTCACTTTTTCCCGAATTATTTCCGTTCCTACAAAGTGAATATGAAACTGCAGCCACTCCACTGCCTACGTAGGCTGCCTTTTATATTTCGGGATTAGAGAATAGTATCAAATACTATTTGTTGAAAATCGCTCTACTGCCTTTCAAAATTCTCCACATTAAGATCCATACACTTTTGCATGGGCTCAAACCAATTTTCGAAGCACTTTTGCCACTCTGATATAGGTAACTCTAAAACATAGATTCTGAGCGCATCAACGGCTTCTTCAGGTGTCGAAAAACGTTGGGCTCTTACTTTATTTTTTACGTACGGGATGAGAAGAAGTCACCCGGGGACTACATGGCTGATGACCTGTCTAATCGTTGTTTTGAGTGCTGAAAAATGC